CGCAACCCCTTTTAGTTTTAGGAACTTTGAGTCTGATGTCTGGGGTCATGCCCTCTACTAAAATTTATAGCACGTCAAGAGGTTGACCTGCTTCCACAGAAAAAATATTATATCTACCCCTGCCATTTTCGTAAATTAGTGGAGTCCTGGAGTGTTTCGTCTGGGACCTATCCTTCAACAACCGCTGGTGTAACTTGATCTGCGTGAGGGTTCATGTCTCGAGACATTGGGCTGCAAGCTTAGTTTAGATTAGGTTTTAAGAACAAAAGAGAGTTTGAAGGGTGCATTTTGTATTTGGCAGTATGTGGGAGTATTGGAGAGTGTTTGAGTAACAGCAACGGGAAGTTCGTAGAAGACCTGTGAAGATGTAAAGTTTGATTGGAGAACTTAATTATGTGCAATATGTGGAATGGTCTGAAACACAAAATTCTTTGTTACCCAAAGAGGATTATTGTATGCACGCAACAGTAGATTATGAGGTATACAGGGTGTGCCCAGGATGTTTGGACTCTTTTTTTTTTATTTAGCCCTGCAATGCCTTCTGTTGGTGAGTTGTGGCGTTAAGATTCTTGAAGTTTCAGCTGTGGCTGTCTATAATTTCAAAGTGCAAGCATCGCTGCATCGTGTGTTCTGACATTGAATGTAACTGTACTGTTCTGACGCTCGTCGGAAAATGGCGGTTGAACAGAGCAAACATCAAATTGTGTTCGAAGTTAAGCAAAAATAGCTGGAAAAGCGTACGAAATGATGAGAAGTGTGTACGGTAGTGATTGTTTGAGTCGCTCGAACATTTCTCGAAAGTATGCTATATTTCGTGACGGCAGGGGGGACATTGAAGGCGCCCCACATGCATCAAAGCCGAGAACAAGACGCACTGAAGAAAATGTGAAAATAGTGACCGAAATCCTTGCATCAGACAGATGTGTTTCTGCGAGACTCATCGAGGAGCTTTTGGGAATAACAAAAAGTACTGTGCATCAAATTTTGACGGAGAATTTGGGCAAACGGAAGGTCTGTGCACGGTTTGTACGGCGCGCGCTATCAGGCGATGAAAATCATGCCAGAGAGGAACAATGCAAAGACATGTTACGGTCGGCCCAAAGTGGTACAAAATTTACAAAATCGATTGTCACTGATGACGAGACATGGTGTTTTCAATATGAGCCTTTCACAAAGCGGCAGAATGCAGCGTAGTTGAGCTCAAAGAAGCTTAAACCAAAGAAAGTGCTTATGCAAGAGAGTCAAGTAAAGACACTGCTAACCGGTTTCTTCGATTCCAAAGGAATCATTCACAAGGAATTTCTGCCAGAAAGTCAAACAGTGAATTCTGATTATTAACTCGGAGTCCTCAGTCGCTTGTGGGCGAGAATTCTTCGAATTCCACCTGGACATCGAGAGCAAGGTTCTTGGTCGCTCCTCCACGACAATAGTCCACCCCACAAATCGAAGATCGTGCGCGATTTTTTGGCCAGAAAAGGGGTCACATTTGCCAGATTTGGCTCCATCAGATTTCTGGTTGTTCCCAGAAGTTAAGTTGGCGATGAAAGGAGACCGTCACGACCCCATCCAGGACATCCAAAGGGAATCTAACGCAGGTAATGCGATTCTACAAAACGAGTACTGTGACTGGTTTCGAAAACTTTTCAACCGATTGTATTGTATTGATTCAAAGGGAGATTATTTNTTCCTTGAAATTGAGAAAGGCCTGCGGAATTGATGGCATCCCAAATAAATGCCTCAAGCACCTTTAGAGGCAACCATCGGTTCATCTAACTCATCTATTCAATCACTGTCTTCGGCTCTCTCATTTTCCAAATACAGTGGAACCTCGCTTAACGAGCACCTCTCATAAGGAGTAATTCGCATAACGAGCAAAACAAGTTTAAAGGGATGACTCGCTTAACGAGCGACGTTTCGCATAACGAGTGACGAGGGGGAAGTCCCGGATTGTGCGCTTGCTACATCAGTCTGTGTTTAGCACTCGTTCCGCTAGCGTCTTTGTGTCGCTTGTGATTACACATTTTTCCAAACTTGTGTTCAGACGTATTATTTGTGATTGTTTGTGTGCAAAATTTAATAGTCCTTGCAAAAATGTCCCCGAAGAAAAAGCCGTAAAAAGACAGCCATAAGAGAATAAAAATAACTGTAGAAATGAAACGTAAAATCATTGAGAAGCGAGAACGAGGTGTGAGCGTGGCTGATCTAGCACGCACATTCAGTCGGTCTACATCGACGATTTGCACTATCCTCAAGAACAAGGACAAGCTTAAGGAGACAGATGCTTCAAAGGGAGTGACAAGAATATCTATGCAACGGTTACGTATTCTCGGCGATGTTGAAAGGCTGCTCCTCATATGGATAAACGAAAAGCAATTGCAAGGCGACACTATTAACGAGAACATCATTTGTGAGAAGGCGAAAGTGATTTTCGCCGACCTCGTTAAGAAGAAACCAGGATCATCAACGGCCGAAGAAAAAGCATTTAAACGTTATACATAAACTTTTTTGAGTATTTTTTTCGGCATGGAACGCATTTTACATTAATTTATATGGGAAAAATTGTTTCGCTTAACGAGTGTTTCGCATTACGAGTAAGATTCTAGAATGGATTATGCTAGTTAAGCGAGGTTCCACTGTATATATAAATCAGCCATAGCGCTGTAATTTAAGTGTAATTCTGAGAGTGTGTAACTAAGTGGATAATAAACCCAATTACCAATCCGAACGGCGTCTCAGTAGCCCAACACGTTACAGTACTTATACTAATGGACAATAAGATAATTAGGTACAACACAAAACAAAACGCTTTCTACATCTGTAACTATAGTTTTACAAAGTTCTGTAATTTGTGTGACGTACCAAACCCAGCATTTGTGTGAAGTTTCACAGGAGTGGTTCAGTGACCTCTAGATACATGACGCATAAGCACAGATCCCTACATCGCTTCTGGGCTATCAGAAAATCTATTTGTGTAAACGTTATCTCTATTAATAGTTTCAATTTATGGTCGAAATATCAAATTCATTGCCTCTCTACATGCCTACAATAAAATCGTAATTGTGCTGCTTAAGATTACGGTAACTCTGTGCGCAGGCGCTGGTTCGAAGCGGTATTAATTCTGCCGGTAGATGGGTCTGCTGGCAGTTGTCATTTTTAAGAAAAAAGAAATCTTGAAACCTGCATTTTCTAGCTTCTCAGCACATGTTTTCATTTCATGGTTGCTACATGGGGCACCTACATTCTTATCTTGAAGAGTCACCGGCAAAGTGCGGCAAGGAGGCTCACTGTTGGTTTAGGCGTGCTAGTGGCAAATTGCGGCCTGTTTCGTATTTATATTACATTGTAAGATGAGGCACCTGCTAAGCAATTAATGTCAAATCTATATTACATTCATACCACGGGCCTCCAAGCAGTTTATTGCATGTATACAAGCCTGAATATATCATTATGTCCGCGGGAATGTAACAAAATTGCAACAACTGACTTGATGTTATAGAATATCACATGAACAGCTTTTAACCTTGTTTTACGCCATAACTTTCGTTTTTATAATAAGTTTATAGTTCACTGTATTTTATGCCAAGCATTTATATAATTATCTCGTATCCAGTTTTACCAGCACTGCAGTTCAGTGGTGTGAATATGGTAATCATGTGTTTGCCTGATGACGGCTTTAATAGCCGAAACATGCAGCCAAGCTAATTTTAGCCTTGACCATTGTATTGTTGTGTTGTGACGGACTCTAATAAAGAATTGTAAACATACAAGTGCAGTGTGTGAGTAAAATGAGAAATCTTTAGTGCTGAAAGTGGTGGCACACAGTTAGCATAGAAAGCATAAGAAAATAACTTGTAGAATCGGATACAGCAAGTTGCTACTGTCAGCTTTATCTCTTCTTATTGGGAGTTAGCTAAAACGATTTGTCTTTTCAAACGAATGGATACATCTTTCATGTGAATATACAGGATGAATCATACCTGGGCAGTGAGTGTTATGCCACCTGTCATACCGTGGTGACAAGGGGGCGTGGAGGTATCCCCACTGTCACCTTCTGTACTGCAGTCACAGGGGTAGGGCTAAGGAAACGCTAAATTACTTCCTCTATCGTTGCTTCATTGGCTAGGGGCACACTGTTCACCGGGCTTGGCAGGAGGGCGCAGGTGCGAAATATGGTAAGGGAGGAAATCACAACAACAGAAACCCACATTCTCACCCTATGCTACCCTATATTAGAATAAACAAGCAATATACAGTTATATACATTTTGGTACTATCACAATGAAAGAGCCGACTGGTGTCGGATTACACATTACACTTTCTTACCTCTGCATCACTCGGTTGGATCACTCCTACGCCCTGTACACTTGCTGTAACGTTCCTAACTCAAGTCCCATTGGAGGAGTTACACTTTAATAATATTACAATTATTAAGCATGGCGATAAGAGTAGTTCCATTTACTTGGGTTGAATCTGCAGACGGATGGCGTTGCCGGGTGTCTAGTCGGTGCCCATTCTGACATGGCCTTCGGCCGCAAACGGGCCAAAATTACTGTTTGAATTATTCCCCATAATAATTTGCTCTCCGTGTTATATACATTTATTCATGTTAACTCATTACTTTCCCGGGGGGTGTAAGTCCGCCTCCAATGACGTCTTATCCCAAGGTGGGTGATCTCGTTGGCTGGGATCCTGAGGGGACACACCCCTTTCTAGTGCTAGACCATTTGGCTAACACTTTTACCTGCAAACGTCCCCCCATCTTGATCAAGTGTAACTTGTGCAAAGTTAGCATTTCGAGGTACCTTCAACGTCATTCTGCTGACTGGACATTCCCGCGCGGCAAGCCAATGTCCAAGTCCATGCGCAGAAATTCCTTTAAGTTGTTTAACCTTCTTACATCCGCTTTCGTACATCTTACAAATATTTCCACAAGACTAAATCTATTCCAACCAACATTTTCCCCTAAAATACAAAAAGTTAATACTCTGTTAACATATTACCTGGAGTTGGCCTTCACTGCACAACAGGGAGCTACAACGTGTCCCTTCCGCTGGACAAGGAGATGACTTCCACCTGCAACAGAAATGAAAATGTTAGAATTGAAGCAAACTTAGGGAAGTAGAGCAGACACGTGACTGTGTATGTTACAGCAGTCCTGCTCCGTACTGATTTTAGACTGAACTGCGAACCAGTATACAGTGTGTTCACAAAGTACCTTCGGGGTTTTTGAAAAATTTTGGCCAGCAAACAAATTGATCTAGTCACATGCAGTTTGCGGCAGATCATAGTGAAACTCTGGACGTTTTTACTGACCTCGGTAGACCTCAATGTGGGCTCCCTTGGTAGCACGGAGAACGTCCAGACGATATTCGAGCTCTTGCCATGTTCTGTAGAGCATGTCCGCTGGAGTAGCCGAGATCGCATTCCTGATACGGGTCTTCAGGTCATCAAGCCCGTTAACTGGTCTTCGGAACACACTGCTCTTGGTATAGCCCCACAGGAAACAATCCAGTGGTGTTGTGTCTGGTGAACGCGGGGGCCAAGACATTGGCCCGTCTCTGTCGATCCATCTTCCTGAAATGTCCTGTCTAGGAAAGCGCGTACCTGCAAAGCCCAATGAGGTGGAGCACCATCTTGTTCCGGAACCATGTGTGGCTGTAAGTGCTCAATTTGTGATACTTCGCACAGTTGCGGCATGTCCAGGTACGTGTTCATGTTGATCGTCTGCTCTTGGAAAGAAAAAAAGAAGGTCCAATAACCTGGTCATGCATTACACCACACCACACGTTCACTTTCGGACTATCGTGTATGAGCTCCCTAATAACATGTGGGGTTTCAGTGCCCCATATGCGCACATTATGCCTGTGAACTTTACTCGAGACATGAAATGTTGCCTTGTCTGTGAACATAATTTTTTTTTCAAGAAGTCCACATCAGGGTCAATGCGGTCGAGCATTTCTTCTGCGAAATGTTGGGTAATCAGGTGCATCCCACGATCCAGACTTTATTTCCGAACAACGATGCAGACATTATAACCTTCACGCGGCTGGAGTTGTTCAGTCATGGTTTGTAGAGCATGAAGGTGAACTTCAACATCTTCCCTGGCCAGCACAATCACCAGAGTTGAATATCACTGTATCGCTATGGTCAGATTTGGAGACTATATTGAGAAACATATTCCCACCTCCAACATATCTAAGGCAAATTGAAGATGTTCATCGAGAAGAATGGTATAAAATTCCGCTAGAGACTGTTCAAAACTTGTATCAGTCCATTCCAAGAACTGAGGCTGTACTGAAGGCAGAAGGTGTTCCTAACACCAAGTTAATAAAGAAATGTGTACAGTATCTGTAGTGTTCCATTGTTTTGTCCGAAATCTGTATATCGCTATTACTAATGCCATGAAGCTATTTTCCTTATTTTGAAAAAAAATCAAATAGGCTTATGCGATCTCCATGCTGTCTGTGAAGCCCCTGTTATTAACATCTGAATTGCTGAACTACTCCTTACGAAACTTGGTATCGGTATCGTGATCCCTGAGCCCATCTCAAAAGCGTACGTAGCGGCTGACATTAAATAACTTGCTAGGAACATGAAATCACGCCAATGCCAGAAACAAGCGGCTTGAAAACAAAAGAAAAGAAGTATTCAATCATACGCATGCGTGCCCGCAGAAGGCGATCGCCTGGCCTCAACAAGAGCAGCATGCGCCTGCGCAGTTCAACATTCCGAAACAATGCGTCAACTTGTTCGCGCCTGTCGAGAATTTTTCTGTTTCATTCAGAGACAACATTCCTAACAGACATCAGGAAACAAAAGAAGTTATAACTATAATTAGAAAACCAAGGTTAACTTCCAGAAATTTGTGCTTTATCTAATAACACTCTCAGCATATGGGCCCCAGACTGAGGTGGTGGAAAAAATTAAAAGTTTTCAGGGATTTAGATGGAAGCGGGGGGTATAATGGCTCGGGGTGGGAAGCTAACCACTCATCTCCATTTAGCTGTACCTCCACTCCCCCATATATCTTCCTCTTCTCTACAGCGTCCAAACTGATTCTGGGACCCACACAATGGGTACCTGGGGCTCCTTCAGTAGGGGTAAAGGTCTGGAGGGTGAAGTTCAACGCTAACCTCTATATAACGCTGAGGCAAAGTACAGCGGAGCTGTACCTCCACTCCCCGATTAGTCTTCATTGCGTATTACGTTCACATGGAGCTGAGCCCTTCTGGAGGAGACGCTAATTCTGCAGCTATTCAAGAATTTCCCAGCATTTTATGGAACCCGAAGGTTCATGACCGTATTCACAAGAGCCCTCCACTGGTCCCTATCCTGAGCCAGATCTATCCAATCCATACCATCCAATTCTATCTCTCTAAGATCCATTCTAATATTGTCCACCCACCTACGCTTTGGTCCTCCCTGTGGTCTCTTTCCTTCTGGTTTTCCCAACAATATCCATTACGCACTCCTCTTCTCACCCATTCGTGCTACATGACCTGCCCACCTCATCCTCCTGGACTTGATTATTCTAATTATACTTGGAGAAGAGTACGAGTTATGAAGCTCCTCATTATGCAGTTTTCTCCAGCCTCCTGTCACTTCATTTCTCTTCGGTCCAAATATTCTCCTCAACACCCTGTTCTCAAACACCCTCAGTCTATGTTCCTCCCTTAATGTCGGAGACCAAGTTTCACACCCATACAGAACCACAGGCAAAATTATAATTTTGCATATTCTAATTTTTATGTTTTTGGACAACAGACGAGAAGACAAAAGGTTCTGGACTGTAAATAATAGCATGCATTACCCGAGTTCAGTCGCCTCTTAATTGCCTCCTGGACCAGGTTTCGATCTGTTATCGTTGTTCCCAAATATCTGAACTGTGCCACATTTTCGAAACATCTGTTTCCTATCTTTATGTCATGATTTTGCCCTGCATTTTGGTGACCAGACAGTAACATATACTTAGTTTTCTCTGTGTTTACTTCTAGACCAACCTCTTTACTTACATCAATCAAAGTTTGTGTGTTTTTATGGTATCTACATTATCACCCAGTAGATTCACATCATCGGCGTAGTGTTTAATTAATTAAGCTTTGGGACAAGTTCTTTTCCTTGGCACTACAGCCCCAGCGGGCCTAGGTCGACCTCCATGAACTTCTGCGTTCACTTCGGTTTTTCTAGATCTTACAATTTGGTAGGACTCCTTGGGCGGGTGATCAGCTCGTCGCATGGGACAAGTTTACCTTACCTTATACCTTGGATGAAAGCGGATGTGACGTAATCGATTTTCTGCAGAGACTGAGGAAAACTACGGAAGAAATTCAAACCGAAAGCTTCCCCAATACCAGTCTAGGGCGTTACCTCCACATGGACCACCTCGCTTCTCCGTCACAGGGCCAAAGCATTACGGCCCACAAGCACCAATCTAATTATAATATTACGTCACAAAATATGAACATAACGCGTGTTTGTGTGAAGTCTGTGAACATGAGCACTATTTCCTCATGGAATGGTTGAATGGTGCAGACGCTTCGAGGAAATTTCTGCCTCCTTCATCATGTTACCACGCAGATGCACGAAGAAGAAAACACACGGCATCACATCCGAGAAGACAACCATTTTCATGGAGTGGAATGTAAAATATTCTGCTCCCATTCAGACTTAATCCCAAAGTATTGTGACATGTCTAACCCTTGTTGGGCAACGGGAGTTGGAACGAGTTACCACGAAGACAGACCCCTCATAAACGGTCGGTTAACAAGCTACGCAAAAGTGGGAACGAGGTTACGCAACAGTAAGGAAAGCAGTGTTTGTCCGTGCCGAGCCGAGCCGTGCCGAGAAGAGCCGAGCCGAGCCGATCCGAAGCGTGCGGGTTGCTATGCAGCGTTGCCCAGCAACGCCTTTGTAAACACGGCGTCGCGCAACAGGGGAGCCCGTGCAGCGACTGTTTGCTAGGCAATCGGTAAACACGACGTCACGCAACAGGGAAAGCTATCACGTAACTGTTTTCTGTGTTGTCAGTGTGGAAGCTACATAACAGGAGTATTCGTCAGGGCCCGTGTCGTTATTCCAGGCATCATGTGTGTATGTAATTTAGCAATCAGAACACCTATTGTGATGGTTGTTTCCGAATAAGTATTGATGTTCCCTCTGAAGATGATCCGTAAGTGTGTGTCTCTCTCTTCCTCTTCCTCTCTCTCTCTCTCTCTCTCTCTCTCTCTCTCAAGTCTCAATTCTGAGACATTTAAATATGGTCGCGAGTCCCAAGGGACTCGGACTCGAGAAAGACTGCGCTGGCAAGAGCCAGCAGCATATACAAAAGACAGACCCGTCCTCTCGTCAGAGAAGGCGCCCCACAGAAACAAGACCGTAACTGTCAAACGGTAATAATTAATATCTGCTCATGAGCCCCAAATGGGGCTCGACACCAAGACTTACTGACTGACTGACCGTCAGTCGCAATGTAACTCTGACTCTGGACCCGTGTGGACTACTAGAAATAGGGCAAAATCTGTTGTACTGAGCCTGGATTGACGGACGCCTTTTATATATTGTATATAGAAATAGGAATTAAGAATAAATTTGTAAATATATGTAAATACTGACAATGGACTTACTAACACAGACTATGACTGACAAATGACAGACCCGACCTCTCGTCAGAGAGGGAGCCCCAAACGGACAGGACAGTAACTTTCATATAAAGAAAAAAATCTGGTCATGTGCCCTAACCGGGGCTCGACACCAAGACAGACAGACTGACTGTCCGTGGGTCGCAGTGTGACTTCGACTTTGACTTTTGACCCGTGTGGAGGCGGGGTCGAATACCTGCACCGTTACCCTGCGAGTCGTAGGAGGCGACAGAAAGGGAAGTGTCAAATCTGAGGCAGTAAAATATGGTCACGAATCCCAAGGGACTCGGACCCGAAAAAGACTACGCTGGCAAGGACCACCAGCATATACAATATACAGAACCATCCTCTCGTCAGAAAGGGCGCCCTATGAAAACAAGACTGTAACTGTCAAACAGCAATATCTGGTCATGAGCCCCAAATGGGGATCGACAC